AAGTAGTGCGAAGCCCCAGAGTCCAAAGTGAAAGACAGTGAAGCGTCCTCCGAACAAGCTCCTAGACTAGTGTCTACACAGGCGCCTACACTAGCAAGAGGCAACTCAGCAAGACAAGCACATAAGCTAGCAGCACTCGAGTAAACAGAGTCAGAAGCACTAGAGTCAACAACAGCATACATAGCATGAGGAGTTCATAAGAGATCAAGCAACTGAGAAGCTGACATGCCCCAAAGGGCAAGGCCGTACGTCTGAACAAGAGGAAACCAGTTAGGGGCAGGGCCTCCAACGTCGTAGGCCAAGCGAACCGTGTCAGTGAGCTGAGCAAAGCACTGACCAGGAGGGTGGGTGCGACCACAAGGCTGGCCTCGGCGAGCACCTGTCAAAAGCTGATAGGTGCACGAAGGGTGAACAGCACCTCGCTGAGGCTGACACTGTGCTGGCCCCGAAACCTGCTGCTGCCGCTGCTGCTGTGGGGGCTGCTGCTGCTGCCGCTGGGCCAGGTACCACGCCGCTGCCGGCAGACCAGAAGGTGGCTGACGAGCCCGGGCGTCGCCTCCACCAGCTGCAGTAGCGGGGTCACCGGCCGCTACACGAGAGGCCTCTCCAGGCCCTGCACTCCCGCCGCCACCAGTTGGCACGCCACCCCCGCCACCTCCGCCGGCAACGCCTTCACCGCCGTCGCCGCCTGTACCCTGACCGCCCCTCTTGCCACCCCTACCCCGAGAACGCGACGAAGTCGTAACAGCAGCAGCGATCACGTCAGTGGTGGCAGTGGCTAGGGAGGTAGTAAAAGTGGGCAGTTGAGGGACAGTGCACCCGTGAAACAGTGGAGGGGGCACAGCACCAGAGGCGGAGGCTACTGAGCGGAGGTTGCTCTCGACGTCCTTGAGCGTAGACTCTAGGACCTCGATAGTGAGCTCACTAGGGTGCTTCAGGAGAAGCGCGTCACGAACCGAGGCAAGGCGGTCAGGGAGGCTAGTGGCGATGAAGTAGATAGTAATCGCCATGGGGGGAGGGAGCAGTGCAAGCTGTGCGTCAGTGCAAGCAGCGCGGTAGCTAGAATCGAGCGAGCAGAGGTGAGCAATCAAGTCAGCAGAGCGCTCAAACGAGGGCGAGGTCTGGGAACATGAACGGTAGGAAGAGGCGGCCAAGAGTGACAGTGGTGGGAGTAGCGTAGCGGGCCTTGATCGTACTCAGGAAATCACTAGCAGTGTTAACCTGAGTGAAGTGGGCCTCCTCAGACTCAGGGAGGAGGCTACTAAGAGCAATGCAGGCCGCAGCGTCACGCGACTTCCACGCCGTGAGGTCAGCACGCTGGCTGGCAAAGCGGGCTCTAGCAGCGTCGTCAGGGGCAGAGCCTAGAGGGGTAGGGTCGTCGGGCGCAGGAAGGTCACCATTAGCGTGCGCCCAGAGGGACTCACCCGACTGGACCTGACTCTCTAAAAAGCGACGCGCGCGCAGGAGCTAGACTGAGAACTCGAGGGGTCGACCGTCAGCGTCAAAACGGAGAACTCTAGGACTCGCCATAGTGGAAGTACGAGCGACAGGACGCGTAGTAGAGCAGAGGGAGGGCTCGCGGCAGGCCTAAAAAGCAGGCGCAGCGGCGGAGAAAACGAGCAGACGCGGCAGCGCGAGCAAGCAGGCACGCGTGCAGACAGAGACGAGACAGCACAGCGGGCGTGCTTAGAAACGGGCGCAGCAATCACTCAGGCGCAGGGCGCTGGGCGCGGGGAGGCGCGGGCGCAGGGCGCGGGGAGGCAAGGGGCGCAGGGCACGGGGAGGCGCGAGTGAAGGGCGCAGGGCGTAGGGAGGCGACGGGCGACGGGCGCAGGGCGTAGGGCGCGAGGAGGCGCGGGCGCAGCGGGCGCGGGGGCGTAGGGACGACGCGGCGGGGGCGTAGGGCGGGGGTAGGGACGCGACGGCGGGCAGGCGCGACGCGACGGGCGTTTAGGGCAGTGGGGGGAAGGCGCGTCGCGACAAGCAGCGGGGGAGGGCACGACGGGACGACGGGCAGGGAGAGCGCGACGCGACGGAGGCAGGGGAAGGCGCGATTCAACGGGCAGCGGGGGGGGAAAAACGCGACTCGACGGGCAGCGGGGGGGAAAAACGCGACTCGACGGGCAGCAGGGGGGGGACACGCGACCGGCAGCACGGGGGAGGGGGGGGGGGGGGGGGGGGGGGGAGAGAGAAGGTCCCTACGCTACGAGAGTAGTGGATCGGCGGAATGGGCGGTAACGAACGAACGAGACTAGAGCGGGCCGGCGCTAGGCCCGGGTAAGACGTGCGCAACTAGTACGACAGAGTGGGACAGGCTCGGGCAAAACGAACGAGGTCGGAAGGAGAGGGATCCCATAGGATCCGAACCTAGGTGATGCCATGTCAAGAAAGGAACTAATGATGTCATTGATGTGAGTTGGGGTACATATGACAAACCCTAACCCTAAGACAAACCTCACTAAGCTACAACATTTGACAATTATCACATGCCGTAATCACAGCAATGGCAGAGGAGGATGCTAATGAGCTGCAGCTGTCACGGCTACTGCCGCATCACTATGATGTCGCATTGTACACGTGTAATCATATTCCCACCGTTTATCCCGTCGCAGCACAACAAGTGCTCCCTCAATAATAGTGGGTAATAGCGGAACGGAGGCAGACCCCATGAACTCATGAGACTGGTATGGGGAGGATTCAGGGACAAGTACCGGGGCGGGGGATACTGAAGAGGAAACAACCCCCCAACACAAGAGGGCGGGGTGTGAGCTGGCGCAGATACCAAAGATCTGGAGGAGAGGTCGTTTACGTTCGTCTAATGGGGGCTCTTAGCACAATGCCGTAATTTCCCAAGATGCTCAAGTCATGCACAATCGAGCCATCTTGTGTCCATATCCGTTCGGGGTCAACCACATGGGTATGCGTGCGCTAGTTTGTACAAGGGCAAAATGCCCAGAGCCGTCGTTGAACGATTATAGCAAGCGGGTACAAGATCCCGGCTGCAAAACACTCTACCAGTAGGGTTTGATTTGGTATTTACACCCTAACGAACTAAGTAAACACGAAAGAGCGTGGATTCTTCCGAATATTGCAAAAACGAATGCCGCTAAACCGCCAAGAGGTGCAAGTCGGTGCCAAAGCGTTCGGCCTTATCAGCTCCTGATGCCACCATGAGAGTAGGCAGCATCTAATCGACGATGGTTCCGAGGGTGCGCATGAACCAGAACAGCTGCCCCTTCATCGACTCGTGCCACGCGGGGCGCTCCTCCTCCATCTGCGCCTCCGCCGCCGGCGGCTTCACCTCCTCCGCCTTGGCGGCCATCGCGCTCTGCGGAGGCGTCTCGGGCGCAGCGCCGTAGCCCTGCGGAAATGTCGCCTTCTCGAGCTGATGGAAAAGAGAGAAAAAAGAGAGACAAAAGAAAAGCGAGGGAACCGCTGATATTAGCGCCAGCAACCAGCATCATTCATCATCAAGACGGACACAGAAATGAAGCAGGTAGGAGGAACAAGAACATAAAATATCCCATTATTGTGGCAAGTAGCTGTTAGGTCTTTCGAACAGGATGGCGAGGGAGCGTACCGCGGGGCCTCGGTGGTGCACTCCCGGCCGCCGGTGGCGCTTTGCCGCAGTGATGGCGAGTCTTCGGGGAGGTTGCTCCTGAAAGAGCAAGAAACTCGAGGTGAGATGCCGTGCCGAGGAAAAAAAAACCGTCTCAATGAGCATGCAACCCACTCTGCCTGAGGCAAGCGATACGTAGAATGCTTACCTGAAGTCTAAGCGAGGGTGTGGCAATGGCAAGATTGGTGTGGGTCAGGACGAGAGCTTGAACCGCAGCCATGATTGAAGAACGCCGGCAATGTTAAACCGAGAAGGACTCCTAAATAAGCAACGTAAGAGTCGCGGCTGATGTAAGCTATAGAACAGGATGACAGCAAGATTTGCACAAGCAGCGTTTGAATAGACTGGACTTACTAGTCGAGCTCCTGACAACTAAAATATGATGCTGGATGGGAGGCTCACCTCCATAACATGTCACCAAGAAAAGTTGGCTCGGCATTCCCTGAGCTCGGATGTTAGGGCGCTTTGGTTGGATAAGCTGGGCTAGGTGCGGTTCGGTCCCCGCTGGAAGTACTCCTTGCCAGCGCGACATGACATGCTGCTCATTCGTGCAAAGCGCGGGCCGGTGACGTACGCTGGAACAACGCAGCAAAGCTCAAGCCTGTCAGGGACTTGTTTATTATTCGTGGTTCCGCCACGAGGCTGACGTTGCAGAATGTTCACGTGTATGTTGGTCTATCCCACGTCAACAAGCCGTCAGATGGATTTCGAGTGCCACAGGCTCACCAGCGTTGCAACGTTCGAGTCTTCGCTGGCGGGATCTTCGAGCGGGTTCAAGCAATTGGACAGCGCATCACGCAACTCCGCCAGCACAGCAAAGTCGAGGAGTTTGATCGCACGAGTCTGGTTTGGTCTGGTCGCCAACCAAACCTTGAGCAACAGTGTTACATAATGATGAGTTCGTGATGCATCGCGAATCAAAGTTACCCGTTTGCATGATCTTTTTTCGCTCCTTCCATCAGATCCAGTGTTCTTGCATTGCTACATTTCCAGTGGTGCTCGAAAGTACCAATTCGAGTTTCACACTCGCGTTCACCCTTCACATGCCATGCGCTGGCTATTTCTAACGCGTCTCTCACATGCGGCTCGCGGCCAGATCAACAAACCACGTGCGATAGTTTGCGGATTCGCCATTTGTCGTGGCGTGAGACTGACTTAGCGCATGCTGAGCGACTCGTACGAATTATTCCCTGTTAATTCGGGACTACTTTGTGGACTTCCTGTAGAAATCGCTTTTCTCCCGAGTAGACCCAACAGTGTTTCTCTCAGTCGCTTTTTCCCAACTAACGTCCTTGATTCTACGATCTGCAATCAATCGTCGCTCCTGACTCTGACATCGTTGAAAACTGATTTCTCGTGAAAGCTCGTTGCGCCGTCCGCCATGGCGACCGAGGTAGCGGTGGAGGACTTGCGATCGGCGCGGCCGCGCGATCCGCGTGCTGTCGGGAAGGTGGAGCAGTACATGACGCGCGACCCGATCTGCTTCCGTCGCGATACGCCTCTTGAGGACGCCCTGCGCGTGAGTGCCTCGTCTTGCGCGAGTCGCTGTGTTGCCTCGTGCGCTGGTTGTGTTGTCCCGTGCGCGCGAGTGTGTCTCCTTGTGGGGTTTCTCGATTCCAGCGCAATTTCGCACATGCCTCGCACGTCTCCCCCCCATACCGCCAGGCGCTAATAGAGCACAAGATTAGCGGCGCGCCGGTGGTGGAGCCCGTGTTCTCTTCCCTCTCTTTGTGTTGAATCCCTTTCCCCTCTTGTCTGTCCCCTCCTCCCCCCTCCCCCCACACCCGCCAGGCGCTAATAGAGCACAAGATCAGCGGCGCGCCGGTGGTGGAGCCGTACGAGGGCGACTCGACGGGCAGCGGCAGGCTGGTGGGCGTGATCAGCGAGGAGGACCTGTTGTGGAAGGAGGTGGACGCGACTGATAAGGTGAGACGCAGCGGCGCAGGGGTGCTGAGGTGTATCGCGGATTGCTGTTTGGCTTGAGCGAGCGATATTGTCTCAGTTTCTCAGTTGCTACGAGGAGTGACACGGCAGTAGTTGTGATAGCGAGGAGGACCTGCTGTGGAAGGAGGTGGACGCGACCGATAAGGTGCGACGCGGGGGTGGTTATGTGGATTGCGGCCGATAAGGTGCGGCACAGTGCACGGGTGATGAGGTGCGGCACAGCGCACGGGTGATGAGGTGCGGCACAGCGCACGGGTGATGAGGTGCGGCACAGCGCACGGGTGATGAGGTGCGGGGTTGCAGGTTCCACTCCGTTCCCCGTCCATGATGACGTCAGACACGAGCATGCAGAGAGAACTACCATCCGCCCTCCCCACCTTCCTCCCGTCCCCCCGTTTCTCCCCTTCCGACCCCCTCCCCCCCTTGCCCCCTTGCCCTTTTGCCCACTTGCCCTTTTGCTCAATTGCCCTTTTGCTCACTTGCCCTTTTGCTCACTTCCCCCTTCCACTTTCAGGAGCTTGAAACCGCATTCCGCGCGCCCTACCTCTGGTCCATGATGACGTCAGACACGAGCATGCTAGAGACCTACGAGGACCAGGCTCTTAAAGTGCTCTCCCAGACCGTGGGTCTCAGCATGAGCGAGCAGTCCATCTCAGTCACCCCCGACACGCCCGTTAAAGACGCCGCTACTATCATGCTGGATGCGAAGATTAAAAGGCTGCCTGTGGTTGCGCCCCGGGAGGGGGGCCGGCCGGGTGTGACTGTAGTGGGTGTGATTTCGAGGAATGATGTCCTGAGGCATGTGCTGAGTGTGCTTACAGAGAGGGGAGGGACGGTGGGGGGAGAGGCGCGTGGAGAGGGGGCGAGGGAGGGGGGACGGGGGAGGGTGGAGGCAGGGGCAGGGGGAGCAGGGGGGAAGGGCGGAGGAGGTGGTAAGCCAGGGGAGAGTGAGGGGGTAGGGGGGGCGGGGGGAGTTTCTGGGCTTGGAGGGATAACTCCACAGGCAGAGGTTGGGGGGACAGGTGGGGGTGGGGAAGCAAGGGGGGAGGGGAAGGAGGGGGGCAAAGGAGGAGGGGAGCGAGGTGCTGCTGCGGAGAGGGGTGGTGAGGGGGGTGAGAAGGTGCAGACCGGTTTGGTGAAAGGAGGGGCGTGATAAGGCGGAGGGTGGGAGTGGGGAGTGGTAAGCGGTCTAGTTGCACAATGCAAGTGTCTGTGTCTGGGATACATTTGGCTTCTTTTAATGCAGAAATTGGCTTGGTGAAAGGTGGGGCGCGAGGGCGATGATGAGGGTGATGGTGGTATGGGGAGGTGGTAACAAGATGAGGGGTGTCTGGGGCGTGATTGGATTTCTTTAGTGCACCTCACCTGCGGCGGTTTTTGAGTCGACTCAAAAACCGACTCATCAATTGGATTTCTTTAGTGCACCTCATCTGCGGCATCATGTTTCATGTGTGCTCATGCAGGAGGTCACTTGGGCAGGGAGGTGAGGTGTAGCAATGTTTCTGTCTGTAACCTGTATATAGCGATGGTAGTTTTGCTTGGTGCGTGAATTACCTAGTACCAGTATTGGCTGGTCGTTTAATGGAACCGAATGAATGATTCTAGAGATTGGCTTTTCTTTCCACCCCATCATCAGTTGTATCTTGTTCACCAGGCAGATATATGCCGTAGCTGAAGTTATCAAGTTGCCTAGCTGAGTCTTGGGTCAAGCAATAATGTGGGGAGACAGCGAAGGATTATCATAAGACATGTACATGAATGCTCAGATTTGAGGGTCCCTAAACTTCTCCATTTCATGCATTTCAGGTTTCATGCTAGACACTAGAGTTTGGGCTGCCTGATGCAATCCAACTGTGTCCTGCCCTATTTCATTCCAACCCTCCCAAACTCTGATGGTTTGTGCTGTGGCTTGTGATCTTAGACTGCCTTTATTAGCGTAATTGAACATTCTGACAAGGTATACAAACATCACAGCTCGCTCCACAGGCTGTGGAAAACACAAACAAGCATAACCCAAGCCTACACAATCACACACTGCTGAAAGCAACATCCACTCCTGCCATTCTACCCAAGCACCATTGTCTCAAGTACACTGCCGTAGGACTTCTGCCGCCATGATATCAGGTCAGACTACATCATTCCGAATATGTCTTGTGTAATCACGCTATCTAGGGACCAGAGCGTGGTCTTCTGCCCCCCATCTCGCCCGTACACCCACCAACACTCCTCCCCACTCCCCCCTCCTCCCCAGCGCTCTACCCGAGCGCCTTCTGCAGCTGCTGCACCGTGATTCTCGGCCTAGCCGCCAGCACCTTCCGCATGTCTCTCTCCCCACCTTCTCTCCCCCACCACCTCCCACCCCTCCCAACCGCTCTAACGCTCTACCTGAGCGCCTTGTGCAGCTGCTGCTCCGTGATTTTGGGACCGGCTGCCAGCACCTCATCGGGGATGCGCGTAGTCTTGCCGCCCATCTCGAACTCCACAAACTTGCCAAAGTTCTTCACAAACAGCGCGCCAAGCTTCTCCAGGGTCTGCTGGTACTTGGCCTTGTCGGGCCACTGTGAAATAGGAGAAGCGGGTGGAGGAGGAGGGGGCACGAGAAGAGGGGCGTGAGAAGAGGGGCATGAGAAGAGGGGCATGAGAAGAGGGGCATGAGAAAAGGGCATGAGAAGAGAGAGAGAGCAGCAGCACAGGAGCAAGGGAACCAGAACGAGGGAGATTGGAGGAACCCAAGGGAAGGAAGTCAGGGGAAATGAACGCGCCACACTCACCAGAGTCTCCGGCTGCAGCACTTCAGTGGGCACGCCGTTGCACTTGGTGGGCACCTGCAGGCCGAACACGGGCGTCGTCACAAACTCCTCCTTCAGCAACGACCCGTCGTGAATCGCGTCGATAATCGCGCGCGTGCTCTTGATGCTCATCCTGCTCCCGACGCCATAGCTCCCGCCCGTCCACCCGGTGTTGACGAGCCACGCCGTGGTCCCGTGCTTCTTCATGCGCTCCGCCAGCAGCGACGCGTACTTGTACGGATGCCACATCAGGAACGCGGCTCCGAAGCACGCGGAGAAGGTCGCTTCGGGCTCCGTCACGCCCATCTCGGTACCCGCGACCTTGGCCGTGTAACCCGAGATGAAATGGTACATAGCCTGCTCGAGAGTTAAGCGGCTGACGGGCGGGAGAACTCCGAACGCGTCGCAGGTGAGCAGAATCACGTTCGTCGCGTGGCCCGCCGTGCAGGGGATCTTCGCATTGGGGATATACTCGATTGGGTACGACGCGCGCGTGTTCTCGGTAATGCTGTTGTCATCATAATCCACCACGCGGGTGTGCGCATCGAAGACGACGTTCTCCAGCACCGCTCCGAACCGGATTGCATTGTAGATATCGGGCTCCTTCTCCCGGCTGAGGTTGATGCACTTGGCGTAGCAGCCGCCCTCGATGTTCGCCACCCCGTCGTCGCTCCACGTGTGCTCGTCGTCGCCGATCAGCAAGCGGTGCGGATCGGTGGAGAGGGTTGTCTTGCCCGTGCCGGACAGGCCGAAGAAGAGGGAAACATCGCCGTCTTTACCCATGTTGGCTCCGGAGTGCAGCGAGAGGACGCCCTGGAAGGAGAAAGGTGAAGGGAAAGGGGAGATGTAAACTAGGTGGGGAGCTGTGGAGCTGTGGCAGGGCGAGGGTGCGGCCGAAGTAGAGCGAGACATCTCCGCTCTTGCCCATGATGGCACCCCAGTGCAGCGACAGCACGCCCTGAAAGGGGAGGGAGGGGGAAAAGCCGCAGGGAGAGCCGCAGGGAGAGAACATTGCAGGAGACAAGAGGGGATAGCTATGGCAACATTTCAAACGCTGAATGGAGTGTCTGCATTTTTTGTTTCACTCTTGAGTCGACTCAAAAGACAAAGTTAATGCGTGCTTCGTTCTCGCTCTGCTCACATTCCCATGCACAGCTGTTAGAGTCACAATAAGGCACACTCGCTACAAGGCAGTCAGAGTCACATCGAAGCACACCTGGTGCCACATCACCCACCTGCTTGGGCATAAGGTAGTTCTTGCGGGAAAACAACCCCTTCTTCATCTCGCCCGCGTACTCAGTCCTCAGAATGACCAACTCCACGCTCGTCCTGCCCTCTGCTCTGTGCCCTGTGCTTACACACATCTCATCACCACAGTCTACCACAGCCCACCACTAGGAACCCACCTGTATGGGCATGAGGGAGAACAGTCCCTACTTCATCTCCATGCGGTTCAAGTCCATGTCCACGCTCGTCGTGCTGCTAGTGCTCTGTGCCCAACCACTGCACACCAAGCCCACCACTAGGAACCCACCTGTTTGGGCATGAGGTAGTTCATGAGGGAGAAGAGTCCTTTCTTCATTTCCCCGGCGTACTCCGTCCCGAGAATGACCATCTCCATGCGGTTCAAGTCCATGTCCACGCTCGTCGTGCTCGTCATGAACTTGCTCAGCCGGTTCACGGGGAAGTGCCCCGCGTTGTAGATGGTGAACACCGGCTCGCCGAAGTTATCCAGCTGCTCCTGGGTGGGCCGGATGCACCTGGGAAGATTGAAGGAGAGAAGGAGAGGAGCACGGGAGAGTGAGGTGAGAGGGAGGAGTGCCAGTTGACGGGGAAGTGGCCCGCGTTGTAAATTGTGAAGATGAAGGGCGCATGGAAAGAGGAGAGGAGTGAGGGGTGAAACCTCCATGACGAACTTGGTCTTCAGATAAAGGGTGCAGGAAAGCTTGAACGTGCAATATCGCACCATGCATCCACTCACATGTTGTGCATGAAGAGCGCGTGGTAGGCACGCGCGCACACGATGCGCACTTTGATCTGCAGCTTCGGATCCCACCCCAGCAGCATGTCCTGCACGTACACCTGCAGCCACGTGGCAGCACGGGATTGGATCCAAGTGAATGAGGGGGAATAATGAGCTGAGGGATAAGAAGAAAACCGTAGTCTAAACCGTTAAAAATAGTCATTCCACTATCAAGGAGGTGGAAGAACGAGCATCAGCAAGTACAAATATGACAGACGGTATGAGGAATTTCTTCTGTTTCGAGTCCCCATTGCTCCGCTACATGGCCTGCTCGACTGATAGTGTGTAACCAGCCGTTGGATGAGGTGTTATGACTGATATCGAAATCGAGCTGGCTTGTATCGGGGACAGCGCACCTTGCCGACGGTGTTGAGGTAATCGATGGCGCGCTCGCGGTTCACCATGAACGTGTACTCGTCCATCTCGTAGTTGGGCGACCCTCTGCGCACACGCAAACGCATGCAATCAAACACACGCACGCAATCAAACACACGCACGCAATCAAACACACGCACGCAATCAAACACACGCACGCAATCAAACACACGCACGCAATCAAACACACGCACGCAATCAAACACACGCACGCAATCAAACACACGCACGCACAGCCAGGCGCACGCACGTGCACACACAAAAGGACATAATGTAAGTCACCCAACTTCAAATGGGACCCAAGAGTCAAGGCAGTGATTGAAACAACAGCTTTACACAGACCTCTCACGAACCGGAACGCCCAAAACCCAAACCTTGACCCGCGCCCTGAACCGCGAACAAAGCCCTGAATCCCGCAAGTACTCACTTGCCCCACCACAGGTCCTCGGCGTGGGCGCGCTCCTTGACGACGCGCTTGTCCTTGGGCGACCGCCCCGTCTTCTGGCCCGATAGCGTCGCCAGCGCGCCCGTCGACACGATGAAGTTGCCCTCCTCCTGCGCGATCGCCTGCTCATACAGCTCTGCGCGGGAGAAAGGGAAAGTAGAAGCAGGAGGAACGTCGGGTTAGCACACGGCGACAGGCGCGCAATGCGGCACCGGGAGAGACAGAAGTCATGATGGCTAAAGAGAAGGGACAGCGAGGGCGCGTGGGTTGTGGATGCAAGTCATACCCGCGACGGAGAAGTTGCGCAGGACCTCGCGGGGCTTGAGCTTGGCGACGAAGATATCGTCGGGCTAGCGCACGGCGACAGAGGCGCAATGCGGCCCCGGCAGAGACAGAGGCCATCAGGGACAGCGAGGGCGGATGCAAGTCTTACCAGCGACGGAGAGGTTGCGAAGGACCTCGCGCGGCTTGAGCTTGGCGACGAAGATGTCGTCGGGCGCGAAATCGGGGACGTTCATCACCTTCTGCAGCGCATCGCCCGCTCGCGTTGACTCGCGCGGCTGGTTGGTCGGATCGAACGCCTGCGGGGATAAGAGGAGAGAGGAGAGACGCAGATCCGGACGGCAGGAATTGGTTTGCATGTGGGTCGACTCAGGTGTCAATGGGTAGGTCAAGGTTTACGGAATACGGCGGGAGGCGGGGAGGTACGAGAAGAACAGGTATGTATGTGCGAATGTGGGGCGGGGTGCACGATGAAGGCAACATAGAGTACTCGCGTGCACCCGAATCCTCGACACACACACCGGATGAGCGAAGACATTCGGGAAAACCAATGAAGGGGAAAGCAAGAAGGGAACTAACGAAGACGTATAAAGGAACGCACTGCGACGCATGTCTTGTTCTGCGATCGGCGTTGAGTCGGGCGAGCTGCCTTGGCGTGCGCGAGACGAGCTCCTCCCTGCAAATATATAAAAAAGAACCGCGAAAAGTGTTACTACTGCACAAACATTCCGCGAGGAGGTTGGGTCAAGAAAAGGGGTCACTCATTTTTCATGCTACCGGCAACAAACACACTAGCGGGGAGCGTATAATAGCAACAATCATGTTCGGGAAACGGGTCGAAGAAAAGGAAGGGAACCTGCCTTGAGAATGCGAGACTGTGTTTCAAGTGAAGACGAACCAGACACCGCAACGGACGGCGCGGTGACGGAGATGCCCATGAGCGAAGCCATTTAGGCGAAAGCTATCGCAACACGCGTGAGTCACTGTAGTAGAGTGCGTGATTGCTCGCCGATCGGTAACTGGAGAAATGGAAGGTAACTGCTGCGCAGTGGGCAAGGCCTGTGGTGATCGAATGACGAACACCAAACGGAATTCTAGTGAAAGCTTGGTTTGCTGTTTGCTTTTGTGTTGAGAATTTGCAATGTGCTGCTCGCACGAGGGCATGTTCCATGCAAGTGTCGCGACGCGCTGCTGGAGAAGAAGGAACTGTAGATCATGAATTTAGATCTTATTCAAGGCCTCATACGTTGCGCACTGCCAGCAGGGCAGCGAAAATCGATGAGTTTTGGCGCAATGATCAACCTTTCCAAGCACGGGGGGGTGGTATGGGAAGTGCTTGGCTGGTTGGAGCGGACATGCCGGCGTGCCACGCTGTCCGAAAAAATGGAGGCGGAAGGAGATCTTCTTGATGCGCTGTTTTCCGAACAAGGCTGATTGGTGCTCGCGTGGTGTAGTCTCCAAATCAGCAGCATGGTTGCCCAATTGCTGGGACGCAGCTGAGGTAAAGCTCCTGAAGACTCGGCAAAAAGGATGTGCGCTGGACAGCCGTCGGGATCGACCTGCTGCCACGAGTGACTCCGCGAGCGGGACGGGTCATGGGGATTTGGTCGCGAGCACGTGAACTGCGCCGCATGTGGTGCAGAGATGTCTGATTGGTTGTAGTTCGCGCGAAAAGAACAGACTCTGACCCAATCGCCATTCACACACGAAATATACGCTTTGCCGATCACATTCGTTAAAATACGGAGTTATCAGGTCAGCCCTGACTGACTTATGGATATCGAAGGCATTCTTGTTGTATACCCAAAATAGGAGCAAGCTGAGAGTGCTATATAATGATGATTAAAGATATGGCATGAGTTTAAATATATATTACCCCACGGTACCATCCTCAACCCCCCTTAACTCAACTGCACATCATGCTGTCGCGCATCACGCATCCAGAACCGTCACAACGCATTCAAGCCCAACCATTCTCCATGATGTCCCCGTCAAAACATGCTGCACAGAAAGTACCGAGTTCCGTACAAAATAGGTTTCTTGCATGATTACCAGAGGTGTTCTGCACAAAACACACGCACTGCATACGCCATGTCCACCAATCACCAGAGGCACCACAGCACCAACGACACGTCATCCCCTGCTCCTGGCGGCAAGTTCCGGCCTAGCCGTAGCAGCAGCAGCGGAAGTTTACCCGCAAATGCCGCCGCATCTGGCGGGCGCTTCAATCACATTGGCACCGCCAGCGAGAATTCATGGATCAGAAAGGCCGTAAGCGGCGGCAACAGTGACGGCGGCGGCGGCGGTGGCGGCAGTGGCGGGGGTAGCGGCGGGTGGGGTCCTTCGAACAGGGGCAAGCAGGCAGCGACTGGCCGTGGGAGCGACGCGTGGGGAAACAACGACGCGAGGAGCAGCGGCGGCGGCAGCAGCAGCGGCGTTGGCGGCGGCGATTGGAAGACGCGTGGCGACGCGAGGGGAAGCAACCGCGCAGAGGAGGGATGGGGGGTGCGCGGGGGAAGCGGCGGAAGAGGGGGAGGCGGGGGATGGGGGGGAGGCGGCGGGAGGGCGTCGAGATGGGGGGAAGCAACTTCGTACAGTGGGCGGAGTGATAATGGCGGGGGAAGAGGGGCCAATGCAGCTGGTTACAGTAACCCCACACCTGCTGGCAAATTGGCGCCAGGTGATAAAGTGCCAGCGGTCGATAGCTCATCAATGCCTGATAGCTTATTAAGGCCTGATAGCTTATCAAGGCCTGATAGCTTATCAAATCATGATGGCTTATCAGCTGCTTATCAGAGGCTACGGGTGGCTGATGAGGGCAGCAGCGCCACGAGCAGTGGCAGCAGTGACTGGAGCAACGCTCCTAATGCCACCAGCCGAATCACCAGCTCCAGCCACAGCAGCAGCAGCAGCAGCAGCAATGTCGGCTGTCACAGCAGCAGCGGCAGCGGCAGTGGGAACGGCAGTGTGACGGAGCAGCAAGGGCGCGGGCGGTACGCATGGGCAACGCTGGTGATGCAGAACGAGGTGTATGCGTGTGGGGCACTCGTGCTAGGTCATTCCCTCAGACTCGCCAACACTTTCGCGGATCTCGTCTGCATGGTAACAGACGACATTGCTTCGGATGTTACTGCAGCTCTCGGGGAGGTTTGGGACCACGTGGTGGTTGTGCCGAGGCTGGAGGCTCGGCAGGGGGTTCGGCAGCGGCGGCAGGTTCGGTTCGGGCATATGTATAACCCGTGGTTAAGGGCATGCTTAACTAAGTTCACTGTTTTGCGGTTGGAGCAGTATGAGAAGGTTGCATTTTTGGATGCGGATATGGTCTGCGTGTCGGGGTTTTTTACCCTGGAAAATATTCAAGGGGACGGGCTGACCCTGCTCGAACGAGTGAAATTGTGGCGCGAAGCAGAGAGAAAAAAGACGGGCTTTGATAGCTGCCCTTCCGCTGGTGCTGCCCCTGCTACAACTGCTGCTTCAGCTGCTGCTCCTCCTTTTCCATCCCATGATCCCCCTACTTCGCTCCCCCCCCGTTCACACTGTGCTGCCGCACCTGTCTCCACCTCTCTCCGCCCCTCCATACCCACCTCCACCCCTCTGCACCCTGTTGCCTCCTCGCCATCCGTCCTCTCCATGGTGCATCATCAGCAGCAAGGCCAGCAGCAGCAGCAACCACAACAGCAATTGCAGGAGCAACTTCCACAGAAATTGCAGCAGCAGCAGCAGCTGAATGCGGCCTCTTCCTCTGCCTTCCCGGATCCCGATTCTCTGTTTGCTTGTCGCGCACCTGCTGGCATCCTCGACCTTTACCGCCGGTGTGTGCTCATGTTTGTGCCCCCCCAACCCACCGGTTTGTGTGTTTGTACGTGTGTGTGTGTGTGTGTGTATGTGTGTCTGTACGTGTGTGTGTACGTGTGTGTGTGTGTGTATGTGTGTCTGTACGTGTGTGTGTATGTGTGTGTGTGTATGTGTGTGCGTATGTGTGTGTGTATGTGCGTGTGTGTATGTGTGTGTGTATGTGTGTGTGTATATGTGTGTGTGTATGTGTGTGTGTGTGTATGTGTGTGTGTATGTGTGTGTGTGTATGTGTGTGTGTATGTGTGTGTGTATGTGTGTGTGTATGTGTGTGTGTATGTGTGTGTGTGTGTATGTGTGTGTATGTGTGTGTGTGTGTGTGTGTGTGTGTGTGTGTGTCCCCCCACCTGCTGGCAGTCACCTGCTTGCAACGCACCTCGCCATGCCCATCTCCACTGCACCCCACTGCACCCCACCACACCCCATTGAACCTCCTCTGGCAGGGAAGCAGTGGCTGCATGGGCAGCTGCTGGCGAGCGATGAGCCTCTCTGCATATCCAGCACACCCAACAACTATCATCTCCACCGCACCTCACTGCGCCCCACCGCACCCCACCTCACTGTACCACATTGAACCGCCTCTGGCAGGGACCTTGGGGCGAATCAGAGGTTGCACGGACAGCTGCTGGCGGATGACGATGTGCGGCGAGCCATGGAGGGGCTGTTCTATGCCATGCGCGGTGAGTGGTGAGGGGTTGGGAATGGTGTTGGGGGGGTAGACAGGGTAAGGGTAGTGATGAGGACGATGAGGCGAGCCATGGAGGGGCTGTTCTACGCGATGAGAGGTGAGTGGAGAGGAGGGGAGGTTGGGAATGGTGTTGGGGGGGTAGACAGGGTAAGGGTAGTGATGAGGAGGGGCGACAGCAGCTGCTGGCGGACGATGACGTGAGGCGAGCCGTGGAGGGGCTGTTCCATACGATGAGAGGTGAGAAAGAGAGAGAACGGGGGAAGGGATAGCTGGGAAGGATTGGTGAGAAGATGGAGGAAAGGAAGGGATGGGAGAAGGCAGCTTTTAGCAGATGATCACGATGCGAGGCGAGCCATGGAGGGGCTGTTCCATGCCATGAGAGGTGAGTGGTGGGGGGGGAAAGCAGGGGGAATTGTTGGGAAGGTGAGAAGAGGGATGAGATGATGGGAGACAGCAGCTGCTGGCGGATGACGACGTGAGGCGAGCCATGGAGGGTTGTTCTACGCGATGAGAGGTGAGTGGAGAGGAGGGGAGGCGTTTGGAGCGGTTAGGGTGAAATGAATGGAGTGCGGGAGGGTGTGAGAGAAAGTGCACTTTCTGAGGGATTATGACGTGAGGCCGAGGATTATGGAGGGGCCTACAGGATTATGACGTGCGGCCGAGACATGGAGGGGCTGTTCTATGCCATGCGCGGTGCAGGAGGGAAAAGGGGGAAGGGTGAGGGTTGCATAGGGGTGCATAGGGGTGCATAGGGGTGCATAGGGGTGCATAGGGGTGCATAGGGGTGCATGGGGGTGCATAGGGGTGCATAGGGGTGCATAGGAGTGCATAGGGGTGCATAGGAGTGCATAAGAGATGGAGAGAGGAGGAGAGAGGACGATGTGAGGCGAGCCATGGAAGGGCTGTTCTGTTTGACGACCTGCAGTGGTGCGTGCGGCACCACCCCATCGGGCACTTCCTCTCCTCCTCCCCCACTCCTCTCCTGTATCTCTCTCCTCGCCCTCCCCAATCCACACCACCCAGGCTGCACGCTCCTTCTCGCCCCAAGCCGCCGTCTATTCGACGATCTGCAGTGGTGCTCGCGGCACCACCCCATCGGCCACTGGGATGCCATGGCCGGCCCTGATGAGTATTTCAACTCCTCTCCACACCTCCCTCCTTGTACTATCTTCTCATCCCCTCCCTCCCTCCCAGGCTGCACACTCCTTCTCGCCCCAAGCCGCCGTCTATTCGACGATCTGCAGTGGTGTGCGAGGCACCACCCCATCGGCCACTGGGATGCCATGGCTGGGCCCGACGAATACTTCATCTCCAAATTCTTCCTCGACCGAGGGGTGCCGTGGACGCATGTTCACATGCGGTGAGATGCGGTCATGAGGGGTGCATGCATGGTAGCGAGGGATGCAGCCATGGCTGGCGCCTGTGAGTATTTCATCTCCAGGTTTTTCCTCGACCGCGGGGTGCCGTGGACGCACGTGCACATGCGGTGAGTTGGGTGCCTGGTGCATGCTCATGTGAGGAGTGCATGCTCATGTGAGGAGTGCATGCTCATGTGAGGAGTGCATGCTCATGTGAGGAGTGCACGCTAGTGAGGGCCTCTTCACATGTGCAGCCATGGTGGGCCCCGATGAGTATTTCATCTCCAAGTTCTTTCTAGATAGAGGCGTGCCGTGGTCGCTCATGCACATGCGGTGAGATGCATGCTCGATGCATCGTCATGAGGGGTGCATGCATGATGAGATGTATGCTCGATGCATTGTCATGAGGGGTGCATGCATGATGAGATGTATGCTCGATGCATCGTCATGAGGGGTGCATGCATGATGAGATGTATGCTCGATGCATCGTCATGAGGGGTGCATGCATGGTGAGATGTATGCTCGATGCATCGTCATGAGGGGTGCATGCATGATGAGATGTATGCTCGATGCATCGTCATGAGGGGTGCATGCATGATGAGATGTATGCTCGATGCATTGTCATGAGGGGTGCATGCATGATGAGATGTATGCTCGATGCATCGTCATGAGGGGTGCATGCATGATGAGATGTATGCTCGATGCATCGTCATGAGGGGTGCATGCATGGTGAGATGTATGCTCGATGCATCGTCATGAGGGGTGCATGCATGATGAGATGTATGCTCGATGCATTGTCATGAGGGGTGCATGCATGATGAGATGTATGCTCGATGCATCGTCATGAGGGGTGCATGCATGGTGAGATGTATGCTCGATGCATCGTCATGAGGGGTGCATGCATGGTGAGATGTATGCTCGATGCATCGTCATGAGGGGTGCATGCATGATGAGATGTATGCTCGATGCATTGTCATGAGGGGTGCATGCATGGTGAGATGTATGCTCGATGCATCGTCATGAGGGGTGCATGCATGATGAGATGTATGCTCGATGCATTGTCATGAGGGGTGCATGCATGCATGGTGACGATCAGTGCAACCATGGTAGGGCCCGATGGGTATTTCATCTCCAAGTTTTTTCTGGCCCGATGGGTATTTCATCTCCAAGTTCCAAGTTTCATCTGGCTCGATGGGGTGCCATGGACACGCGTGCACATGCGGTGGGTGGCGTTTCTTGGGCGTTTGGGAGCAAGGTGAGTTGCAGATGCCGCTTTAAAGTGATTGTTTGCACTGTGGTGAGTAGCATTTCCTGGACTCGTCCACTCTCTTTCACTCCTCTCACTGTTCCTCTTTTATCCTCTTTTATCCTCTTTTGTCTCTTTCAATCTTCTCCCCCCTCCTATCCCCCCCCTCACCAGGTTCGGAGCCATATCATGGGTGGTGGATGAGGCATTAAAAGGCCAGGTGCCCCCCGTGTTCATCCATTCGTGTTCCTTCGCTCACCACTCTCCTTCTCCATCCTCTCTTCTCTTTCCCCCCTCCTCCACCCCCTCACCAGGTTCGGAGCCATATCATGGGTGGTGGACGAGGCATTGCAGGGCCAGGCCCCTCCCGTGTTCATCCATTACGTCAGTGAGAAGCCCTGGGTCGCCCCTGCTGGCCCCTCCACCGCCCCTGCTGGCCCCACTTCTACAGTGAAAACGTCTACACCTGCTGTGACTTCTACAGTGACTAATTGGTCGGATTTCTTAGTGTGGGACTCTATAGCGGAGCAGGTGGTGGGGCTGCTGCATGCAGCAGGGGAGGAGGAGGCAGGAGCTGCCAGCAGGCTGTTTGCGGGGTGGGACGCAAGGAGGAAGCTTCCTGTTGTGTTCCCAGAAAAGCAGGGTTGAGGTCTGTACAGCTGAGCAGGTGGTACGGTATGGCTGCTGGAGGCAGCAGGGGTGGGAAGCGAGGAGGAGAGGAGGCTTTCTCGTTCTGGGGCGCCTCAAAACTAATCGTGAGGTCTGTATAGCTGAGCAGGTGGTGTGGCTGATGGGGGCAGCAGGGGTGGGTGGGAAGCGAGGAGAGGAAGCTTTCTGTGTTCCAAGGAAAAACAAGCGTGTCGCCCGTTTTAGAGGCCTTGAGGGCAGGATTTACTAACTGGGGTGGGGTTGTCGTGTCGCTGAGCTGACTCCCAATTTTGTGTATTGCTTGACATGAGCAGCACAGAAGACCAGCTGGATGAAATAGCTGCAGTGCAATAAGTTTATGTTAGTTAACATTAGAAAGTGCAAAGACAAAGGAAGATGCAGCAAATAAGAAACTACAGTAAGGAAAAAGAGAAGTGTTGACGTGTTATGGTAATGCAGAAAATATTCCTGCCACTGCTCTCGGGCGATCAGAAACAAAACACAATTCGGAACCCGGAAATACACGGAGGAAAGGGTGACGCCCCAACCCCACCACCCAGGTTCTCATGCCCCACACCACACTGTCAGTGCAGCCTACAGGTGCAGCAAACATTCCCTTTCACCCTGTTCCATTTCACTCTGAGGCGGAGCGTCCTCCTCAGAGTCATGTCTTTGCTTCTGCTGCCTCACTCCCTGCTGCTGCACCATCCACTGCCATGGCGTCCCCTGCAGCACCCTCACCTCCCTTACTGTCACCTTCCTTACTGGCACCCTCTGCTCCTCCCACTCCGCCCTCCCCCCCACCAGCTGCCTCCCCTGCAGCAGCACCATCCCCTCCCTTCGAACCCTCCTCACCCCCAGACCCACCCTTATCAGCCGCACCATCCTCACCTTCCTTCCCTGCATCTGCCCCCACCACCACTCCCTCTTTCGCATCTTCTTTCTCCTTCTCATCTCCACCTTGCTCCTCCTTGCTCACTATAGCAGACGCCCCTTCAGCCGCCTCCGTTACAGGCACATCCCCATCATTCACATTCTCAGCCGCCCCAGTCTCGTTGCCCGCCTCTTTCTCAGCCTCCTTTTCAATCTCAGTCTCACCACCTTGCTTCGCATCAATACCCTCTCCTGCTGCATCTGCATCCTTGTCCGCAACATCCACATCAGCAGCAGCAGCATTTGCATCAGGAGCGGCAACATTTGTACCACCAGTTACCGCACTGTCTACCTCCATACCATCAACAACCTCCTTCCCTTCACTGCCCGCATTTCCCTCTTGCTCTTCCTTTCCTTCTTCTGCACCCTTCTCTTGCACCCTTCCCTCCTTCCCCTTCTCACCCTCCTCTCCCTCCTCGCCCTTCCCGCCCACTCCTCCATCTGCGCCCTCTTCCTTCGCTCCTGTCACTGCCGGCCCATCCTTCCCTTCCTTACCCGCATCCCCTCCCCCATCCACGTTCATCCCATCATCACCCTCACTCACAGCAACGCGCTCCTTCACAACACTGCCTCCCCCCACGCCATCTTCACTTTTCTTACCTGCTCCTGCCTCTCCCGCCCCTTCTCCCTCCACCTCCCCTCCCTCTACTTTCCCCCCCTCTACTTTCCCTCCCTCTACTTTCCCCCCCTCAGACTCTTCACCAACCAGCCATCCTCCCTCTGCTCCCGCGGTTCCCTCTGCTCCCGCGGTTCCCTCTGCTCCCTCTACGTCCCCTCCCGCGCCCGTCACCTCTTGCCCTTGCCCTGCTTCCACCACAGCAGCCGCTTCGCGCACATCCCCATCCTCCTCGCGCTCCCTCTCCGCTTCACCCCCTTCCACACCACCCACTCCTTCCATTCCCTTCTCCCCATCCTCCTGCTCCTCCGCACCAACACCACCAACACCACCAACACCACCAAACCCACCAAAACCACCACCACCAATTCCCACAACCACCTCCTCCTCCTCTTCTTCTTCCTCCACAACCATACTCGCTTTAAGCGTCTCCACGCTTGATTTAACCAACTCTTCGATATCCAGCCCAGCCAGGCCTGGAATCTTCCCGGAAGCCGCCACCACCGCATGCACCGCAGCAGCAGCAGCCCCAACCGCCTGCGCCATCCCCGTAACCGCCGCCACCTGCTGCTTCTCCCGCTTCTCCCGCCGCTTTTCCAGGACCACCAGCCTCTCCTGAGCCTCCACCTGTCGCTTCAGCAGCATCAGCTTTTCCTTTTTGAGCCCTAGGTCGCTATTCCGGTAGGTTTTGAGCTGGTTCGCCTCGGCTTTCCTAGCCTTTTCCCGCGCCTCCCGCTCGCGCGTCTCCAGCTTGTGGCGCTTCGCGAGCGCGTCCTCGCTTCTGCCCATCGCCCCTGCAATCACGTGCGCCGCGCGGACCATTGCGTCGCTCCCCAGCGCTCCGCTCGAGCGCGGCTCGCGCGACGACCCCGGAAGCCGAGATAACACACCGTCGTTGACTCGCCACGTCATCAGGTCGTCTTCTTGCCCGCCCGCGAACCCGAATCCGCCGGCGGACGCTGCGCCTCCCCCCCGCCCCCTTCCGCCGCCTCTTCCGCGGCCACGTCCTCTCCTTCCGGCACTTGCCGCAGGAGCCCCGCGCATGTCTCCCTGACTGCCGTGCCTTCCGCCGCCCATTGCGCCAGGTCCCGTCGCCGCCGCCAACCTCGAAAGTAACGGGTCCCCCTCATCCCCCGCTCCAGCGCCCAGTCCTTCCCCGCCTGCACCAGCTCCTGCCGCTTGACCCGCGGTCGGCCCCAGCAAAAGACTCGCCTGGTCGCGCAGCGCCACGAGATAAGGATCCTCCGCAGTTGACGGGACGTATGGCATCCCTCCGGGCATGTTAGAAGCCCCAGCATTCCCTCCGGAGCTCGTGCCGACATCCCACATTCCAGCCTGATTCCCGTCCGCGCCCCCGCGGGGTTGACCCGTTGACCCGCGTTGACCGCGTTGACCGAGTTGACCAGGCTGTTGCTGCTGCTGCATTCCGCGTTGACCGGGCTGCTGCTGCGGGTGCGTCCGCTCTTGCTCCTGCCGTGCATGCACCGCAATAGGCATCCACTCCATCATATGATCGAATAACTCTCGCGGGAAATGCGGCGGCATGCCAATCGCCTCGCGCTCCTCCACACTCAGCCGCCAAAAGTACCCGGGATTCGCGGCGTCCAGCGAGTTATCCCCAGGAGGAGGGGCGCGTCCTTCCATCTGCAGCCTCCGGCGTTGCTCCTGCTGAACCTGCCGCTGCCAACGAAAGATCTTCCGGAAAAGAAGTTTCGTGTTGTAATGGCGGCTGATGCAGGACTGCGCCGAACGATGGTACACCGCACCGCCGGGAGCGCGGCCCGAAGCCATCCATTTCACGAGGTATTTGCCTTGCTCGACTTTTCCCCACTTGAGCGCGTTCTCTCCAAGGCTGTCCTGCATTTGCTGGTGCGATTTGAGGCCTTCCGCGAACCAGAGCGCTTCCGCGAGGCTCCAGTTGCTTCCGCGGTCGCGCTTGCGTTTCTTGGAGTCCGGAAGGTCATCCCCTTCGTCGCCTTCCTCCCCCATGTAGTCTTCTTCATCTTCCTCGTCGCTCCAAAGGCCGTGGGAAGGATACGCGGAACCACCACCTCCGCCAGGATACGCAGAGCCACCGCTGCCAGGATATCCAGATCCTCCGCCGGATGCTCCCGGGCCGGTATAATAAGCGGGATCGCGGCCCAGCTCCATGGAGAGAATATTCTAGTTGTACAACTAATTGAGCCGCACAAAAGCTTTAAGTTGGATTGGGAACCAAATTGCGAATTACTGAGGCAAGCTGCAACTCTAGTCTAGAAGCGCACAGAAAAAAATATTAGCTGAGTTCCAACTCTGGGTGGTGAAAAATGGGCCTCTCAAGGTGTGTAATATATTCTGCCGAGTCCCGACCGTTATGTTTCTTGAGATCTGGTGGAGCAAACCCTCGAGGGTTTCGACTGCTGCAGGTGGTATTTTCAGGCAGCGGCGAGGGTTTCAGCTAAGACCAGGCAAAAAGGACCAGCCAAAACCAAGGTGGTGGTAGTTGGCAAGAACGTAGCTTATGCAGTAGTGACGAGGGTTTCAGCTAAGCCCAGGCGGAATGCTGCGGGCCTCAAGGGATTGGTGGAAGTTTGGCGAAGTGAAGGAGTTCGCGAAACTCTATCCACTGGATTTTCACACCAAGCTGGCTCGGGTTCCGTTCGATTCCCACAATCAAGGGTGGTTGGTTTGGTGTAAATCACGAGCGCCACAGGTTATCCAAGTCTTACTAAAAACACGGTTAACCGTCGATAAGCTTGTAAACTGAACGGCACGATTTTCTTTTTCTCATTGCACACAAACTCGGTAAGGTACAGACCATGGAGCTACATGTTTTATAGTTAAGTCACCTAAGGTACTAGGAACTATCCTTCAAATGATTCAAATTCGATTTCCTCATGGGTGAAAAGTAAAATTCACAAAACATGAACAATATAGCAGTCAAAAAAACTGCTTCATTTACACAAAAACAAAATTATATGATTTGGTGGGAAACCGGATTAGCTACACATCGTTTGCTTGACTGTACTCAAATGGGGGCACGCCATAACAGGGAAATGCTTCTGTGAAATACACGTCAATCGTTTCTGGTCTACCAATCAGTGGTAGCAAAACACATTTGGAACTGTGTCAGGTTCCAGAAGAAAATCTCTCCCAGTCGCAGTCCAGATGGCTTACACTTGCTGGTGAACGACTCTTCGCGAAGCAGTCGCCATCTTTCGGACACCCAACCCAAGCCTCGGAAATTACGCACATCCCAAATTCCGACCATCTCTCAAAGCAAATCTCAAGGTCCATTGTCGCACAGGAAGCCGTTGATCACCGAATAACTATTGTTTCACTGGATAGGCCCAGTTCCCTTGCAGTCCGATTCCAGTGAAATCTGCCGATTAACGTGTGATCCTAGAAGGCAGACCCTGGGTGCTGTCACCGTTTTGGTTAATTTTCCCTTACCTAGTCCGGGTGCCTTATCAGTTGCAAGTTCACTTTACGCGATCCGTAGCAGCATGATTGATGGTAGCGGTTGCGGGAGGTGGAGTAGGAGCAGAAATTATGAAGTTATTGCAAAACTTTCGCGGCAATGTATAAATATCAGTGTGCTGACTTTCCTCGTTGTCGCTGCATCGGCAGCCGATCCAGGTACGGTTGACAACCTCCTGTCGCTTAGCGAGGTTCGCAGCCATTTGACAGCGTGCATCGCATTCGCAGATACTAATAGTAGTAGAAGCTTTGTGTCATGTATCCCCGATCCAACTTAAATGGACAACTCCTTAACTCTTAGACCCGATAACTTTGCTCCCTGCGTTTGCGCCTTGAATCGTACTTATTTCCCAATCAGGCTCGTTTCTGCAATCTGGCGATGCGGCGGTGTCAGCAGGACAGTATTCTGCCGCGCTTCGGCACTACACCGCATTCATCGGTCAGTCTAACAACACTGCGAATATGGTGAATCAATAACTGTACCGGCATGATATTTGGCGTCGCAAAACCTGTCCAATTGGCATTTGTAGGGCATTGGAAACCTTGACTGATTGAGATACTCATTCACGTGCCCTTCCTCCCTAAAAAAATATCATTTTCCCCCTCCAGAAGCTGATCCCAGCACGGGCCTGGGATACACGAAGAGAGCGGCGGTTTACTTGCAACAGCGGAAGCACAGGGAAGCAGAGGCAGATCTAGACATGGCCATCCAGGTGGATCCGTCGTTCCTGCAGGGCTACCTGCACAGAGGCCGTCTCCGCCGTCAACTGTGCCAGTAAGCCGGCAATTCTGCCAGTAGGCCGTAAGATTCTGCCCAATAGGTCGTTAGGCGCCCGAAGAGGCGGATTTGGACATGGCCATTGAGGTGGAGCCTTTTCTCCTGCAGGGGTACCTGCACAAAAGCCGTGTTCGCTGTCAGCTGTGCCAGTAGGCCGTCAATTGTGCCAGTAGGCTGTCAAATTCTGCCAATTGGTCGTCGGGCGCACCTGCATCCCTATCCATTCCTTTCCTCCTGTTCCTCCCCCTTTGCTCATCACTATTTTCCACATGCAGGTTCTCAGCAGCTTCCGCCGATTTTGAGAAGCTAATAGAGTTAAAGCCGTCGCATACCAGCGCGCGGAAGGAGCTAGCGTCAACTAAGGCAGCGGCAGAGGCTCTAGCGGCCGTTAAAAGCGCAGTAGAGTCCGGGGGAGGGGAGGAGGTGGAGAAGCGGTTAGAGGATGACGTGCTCAGTGTAGTTCCGGACTGTAAAGAGGCGCTGTTGCTTAAAGCGAAGCTGCTTATGGCGAAGGGGGACTACCCTGGCGTGATTGCAGAGGCGGGCAGGGCTCTTAAATCGGATGAGAATGACCTGGAAGGGCTGCTGTTGAGGGGGAGGGCGTATCTGTACAACGGCGACCACGACCACGCACTGAAGTAAGTACAATGCGGCCAATGACCACACAATTAGCTAAGTAAGCTTTCACGTATCCACTTCTCTCTTCCTTCCCCCCTCTCGCTCCTCGTTTCGCCCAGACCCCTCTGCCCCCCCCCATCTCACAAACTGTGTAAAAGAATTGTCCCTACGGTATCATAGAGTCCCTGCCCTTCTCCTCTTCCCTTTCCCCTCTCTCCCATCCCCCACTCTCCCATCCCATCTTCCCGCCCCCCTCTTCCCCCCCTCACTCTTCTGTCTCTCCTCCTTATCGGGGTTTCTCCGCCTCTCCCCTTCGTCCAGGCACTTCCAGGCAGGTCTTCGGTCGGACCCCGAGCATGGGGAGCTTAAAAAGGCCTACAGACAGCTCAAGAACCTCGAGAAGAAAACCAAAGCGGTGAGTTGAGGGGGGTAAGGGAAGGAATGTCTGGTTGGTAGGAGAAGGCGAAGAGCTGAAGCGGGCGTACAGGCAGTTTAAAGAATCCGGAGAAGAAAACCAAAGCTGTGAATCGGGAATAAGAGAGAAAATTTATGTGGGAAAGGGGAGGGGAGTGGGTCCGTTTGAAAGGACAATCGAAGGAGCCGAAGGGAATTTTGATTTGTCCGCATTATTTCGGACTGAACTCGACGTGCTTTCCAATGCCCCTCTTCCCACTGGTCCCCCTCTCCCTCACGTGGTTCAACCAACCAGGCCTAGTAAATGCTGCAGCAGAGCAGGTTTTGGAGTGCCCAGTTCGTCTGAACTCATCCCAACACGCATTTTTGATGCCACCCTTCCCACTGCTCCCCCCTCCCCCCCCTTCTCGTTATTCAACAAACCAGGCCCAGGAACTGCTGCTGCAGAGCAAGTTATGAACTGCCCACCTGTCTGGACTCACCTCAACGCCTATTCTCTATGCCTCCCTTCCCGACGCTCCCCTCCTTTCCTTCCGCTTACTATTCAACCCACCAGGCCCAGGAACTGCTGGAGCAAAGCAAGTTCCGCAAGGCAGCAGACGATTTCAAGGCAGCTCTGGAGGTCAGTCATATTGGGATCACTCGGGGAATTCTCGAATGTATACTGGAAGGAACCTCTCTGAAAAGAAAGAAAAACGGCTCTGCAAGGCAGCAGCAGACGAAGCGAGGTCGGTCTGGCTGTGTGGCTTTGTGCGTTCGAAGTTATGTGTGGCCTCGTAATGTTTTAAGTGCGAGTGAGGGTTCTAGGAAGGGATACTGTTCACAAAGCCAGGTTCACCTGGTATGTATGTGGGGGCTCTGTGGCATGTATGTGGGGGCTCTATGGCATGTATGTGGGGGCTCTGTGGCATGTATGTGGGGGCTCTATGGCATGTATGTGGGGGCTCTGTGGCATGTATGTGGGGGCTCTGTGGCATGTATGTGGGGGCTCTGTGGCATGTATGTGGGGGCTCTGTGGCTCCTGGGTATTTTTGAGAATTCTCAAATTCACCTGGTATGTATGTGGGGGCTGTGTGGCTCCTCACAGGTTCAGAATGTGGAGTGATGAGACGTCTTTTTAGGCGCCTCAAGACTCAAAACTGACGTGATCAGACGTCCTCACGTGCTTGCATGTGCATCTCACGTGCTTGCATGTGCATCTCACGTGCTTGCATGTGCATCTCACGTGCTTGCATGTGCATCTCACGTGCTTGCTTGTCCATCTCACGTGCTTGCATGTGCATCTCACTTGCTTCCCACAAAGAAGGGCAATGATTTGCGTCTTTCACTCCCTTTTCTTTCGCCCTCATCCCCATCAGATTCTCCCCGACCACAAGCAGCACAACCTGAAGCTGCAACTGGGGCTGTGACCACTTTAGAGGCGCCTCTAAAATCCTCCCGGACCACCATCAGCACAATCTGAAGCTGCACTTGGGGCTGTGCAGGAGCCTGCTCAAGCTCCCTTTTTTCACATCCCGTTCCCCACTACTTTGCGTCTTCCACTCCCTTTTCCCTCTCCCCCATCCCCATCAGATCATCCCCGACCACAAGCAGCACAACCTGAAGCTACAACTGGGGCTGTGCAGGAGCCTGGTGAAGCTGGGGCGAGGCAAGGAGGCGGCACAGGCGTGCTCGGTGGTTCTGGCAGAAGACAACGACAACTTTGATGCGCTGCTGCTGGTCAGTAATACAGTACCCAAACCTACTGATGTGTTTAAGTGAGTCAACTCAAAGGCAGCTGGGGCGAGGCAAGGAGGCGGCGCAGGCGTGCTCGGTCAGTACCCCAAGCTTCTCAGAAGTCGCCTTATAAGGCGTATGAAAGTCACTCTAGAGGCGTGCTCGGCTGTGCTGGCAGAAGGCAACGACCACTTTAATGCTCTCCTGCTGGTCAGTATTGCAACCTTCTCGTACTGCCATTCCACTGCAGAGTCTGCTGCTGCCAGTAAAGGACGCGAAAAAAACGTGTTTCATCGTTTCTCTCATTGTCAAGCTGCCCTCTCGTTTCTCTCATTGACCTTCATCGTGACGCATTACCCCCTCTTTACCATTTTCATTCCCCCATCTCTGTCTATATGCCTGCCGTACCAGCGTGGTGAGGCGCGCATTGCAAGTGAGGAGTGGGAGGGCGCTCTTGGGGACTTCAAGCATGCGCACCAGCTGAACCAGCAGGTGGGGCAAATGATTCAATCTATAGGCAGGTTGTCTCTATTTGAGTGTCACGTGCTTATGTGTCACATGCCTACGTGTCACATGCCTACGTGTCACATGCCTACGTGTCACATGCCCATGTGTCACATGCCTACGTGTCACATGCCTGCGTGTCACATGCCTGCGTGTCACATGCCTGCGTGTCACATGCCTACAGGCTACAGCCAGCACACCATCCTCTAACACTCACCCTCCATGCCCTCCCGTCCCCTCCTCCCCATCACCCTACACAGAGCCGTGAAGCAGTGGCGGGGTTTCAGAGGGCGGAGCAGGGGTTGAAGATGAGCAAACGAAAGGGCTATTACAAGGTGCTGGGGTTGGACAAGAGCGCTCTTCTCCCTTTCCCACCCTCCCTCACCCCCCCTCCGCCCTCTCTCAACCCCCAAATTTCTCCCCTCTTTACCCTGCACAACACAGAGTCGTGAAGCTGTCGCAGGGTTTCAGAGAGCAGAGCAGGGGTTAAAGATGAGCAAGCGAAAGGACTACTACAAGGTGCTGGGGTTGGACAAGAGCGCGTCTGCTGCTGACATCAAGAGGGCGTATAAGAGGCTGGCGCTCAAGTGGCATCCGGATAAGAATGTGGAGAACAAGGAGGAGGCGGAGGAGCAGTTTAGGGAGGTGGCCGCTGCTTATGAGGTGAGGGAGAGAGAGCGTGGGGTGTTGAGGTGAACAGGTTTAACATAAAAGGAATTGATGCAAGAGGCTGGCGCTTCTGGGTAACCGGATAAGAACGTGGAGAACGAGGAGGAGGCGGAGGAGCAGTTTAGGGAGGTGGCCGCTGCTTATGAGGAGATGGAGAGAGAGAGGGAGGGGTGTTGAGGTGAACAGGTTCAACATTCAATGGACCATTCAAGGGATTGATGCAAGATTGTAGCATTCGAGTGGCATAAGAACGTGGAGAATAAGGCGGAGGCCGAGGAGCAGTTTAGGGAGGTGGCCGCTGCATATGAGGTGAGAGAGAGCGGTATTGAGGTCAATGTGATCAACGCAGGGTCAATGGGGTCACCTGGATGGGTTGAGTAAAACAAGGGGATGAGTTACAAAATGCTGGTTGCCGAGTGGCTAGGGGAGAGAGACGTTGCATAACTCCACCTCACACCCTTGGGCTCCGAAACAAACTTCCTGTTTCTCCCTTCACCCTCACTCTTTCAACCCTCCAGGTGCTAGGGGACGAGGACAATAGAGGGAGGTACGACCGGGGAGAGGATGTGGACGAACCAGAGCAGCAGGGGGGAGGGTGAAATCACTCCCCCATTCTTTTAACCCATATCCCACCCCCCCGCCCTTCCTACCCTCCAGGTGTTGGGAGATGAGGACAAGAGAGGGAGGTACGACCGGGGAGAGGATGTGGACGAACCAGAGCAGCAGGGGGGAGGCGGGGGCTTCCCCTTTGGCCAGAACGTCAGGTTCCACTTCCAAGGGGGTGGGGGATTCCCAGGTGGTTTCCCGGGTGGATTTCCTGGGGGGTTCCACTTTCAACAAGGGTAACTGGGACACCATGTTACGTTGAAGAAAATTATACACATGCTGGTTTCTTCTACCACTACGGTAATTGTTTGCTGCTGCGAGTGCCTTAAGCACTCCTGGATTAGCTGTAGTCATTAATTAATGTTAAACTGAATCAAGCAGCTCCAGTTGATAAAGGTGGATCATACAGTACCATTGGCAATTAACTGGTCCCTGTTCGTTATTCTAGACACTGCTACCTGTATCTCACAGCACAGCAGTCAATCAGTGTACCGTAGCTGTTTCTAGCATGAAGTGGCTTGTAACGGAACTTCTAAACACGTTCTACAAAATTGGATGCCCCTAACACCTTTGTGGAGCATTTGCCATGCAGGCAACAGAAACAGCCAGCAGAGCACCTGGACTCAGCTCATGCGCGAGCCTTCAGCTCGAGTGTAAGACTTCGAGCTTGAGACGTTCAGAATGGCCAAGGCTGAGGAGAGCTGAGGCTCAGCGTGAGCCTCAAGAATTCCATTGGAGGCACAGGGGTTAACCCAGTCACCACCACCTACTATAATGACGCTGAAGCTGCTTCCCAGCTCGAGATTGTACTCAGCAATTCCCAAATGCCATGCAGCATCCAGAAGAATGTCTATCTGTGTGCGACTGGCGGCGCAACTGAATCCTGGTGCAGAATTGTCGACTCTTGAGGCCTGACATTGAGACGAGACCAGATGCGCTGTTACGAGGCATGCAGCTGCCTCTCCAGCTCCAGCTTGTACTCGCGCATTCCCTTGATGAACCCCACGGCAGCATCCAGGAGAGGGGCTATCTGCGTGCGACTGCTGACCCCTGCCCGGCCCTGCTGCCTCAGCAGCACCTCCGCTGGTATCGCTGCCTTGAGGGCCTCCAATCGCTCACTGTGAGACACACATGGGAAGAGGAAGGGACAGCAGGAACATGAGGGACCGGAGTGACGTTTGAGACATGTTCAGGTGGTAAGGGACGCATTAGGCTGGACAATGGATCGACTTAAAGTGGACTCAAGACATTGGACACGCCTTGAGCGCCTCCACTCGCTCTCTTTTGAGAGATGCATGGAAGTGGAAGGGACAGGACCGGACCCTTGCCCAACTCACGTTATTCTGGACCGCCGCTGTTTCTCCGTTGCACTCTTCCCACTAATTTTCCTCCTTCCTGCTGCTGCAACAGCCCCTGCGCGTCCCACCCCTCCCCTCGGGGACCGCGACAAGGGAGACGGGGTCGCAGAGGGCGACTTAAAGCCCATGCTTCCTCCTGGGTGTGACTTTTGGGCTGCTGCAGACCCACGCAGTGCTGCTGCCTGCATTTGAGGCGAGTCTGGAATGAAGGGGTGCTGTGCGTGTGTCTGCGGTACAGAGGTGTTTGGGGTGAAGGGTTTGAGTGCGTGTGCCTGGACGGATCCTGATTGCACTAGGGGATTCGGTTTCAGGGAATGCGGTAAAGGCGACAGCTCTGGAGATAGCTCAAAACGCAGCTCAGGCGAGACGGAGTGGTGCAGACCGGTGGTGTCAGGTGCTTGTGGTTGGAGTCACCTCAACAGGCTGCTAATAGCTGCGTGCCGCTGCTGGTGTGCAAGGGACGAGACTGGCAAGGCAGGAGCAGCAGCACGAGCAGCATGATCAGCAGCAGCAGCAGCAGCAGCATCACGACCATAAATAGCAGCAGCAGAAGCACCACCACCACCACCACCACCACCACCACCACCACCACCACCACCACCACCACCACCACCACCACCACCACCACCACCACCACCACCACCACCACCACCACCACCACCACCACCACCACCACCACCACCACCACCACCACCACCACCACCACCACCACCACCACCACCACCACCACCACCACCACCACCACCACCACCACCACCACCACCACCACCACCACCACCACCACCACCACCACCACCACCACCACCACCACCACCACCACCACCACCACCACCACCACCACCACCACCACCACCGCCGCCGCCGCCGCCGCCGCCGCCGCCGCCTCCGCCACCACCACCACCACCACCACCACCACCACCACCACCACCAATAGCAGCAACAGCTGGGGGGAAAGCGTCCACACACCCATCAAGTCCCACCCCACGCTCCGTCTCGAAGCGCTGCGTCTCAAAGGGGTGTGGCAAAAGCTGCATGGGAGCAGCAGCACCACCAGTGGCAGCAACAGGGCCACGAGTAGCAGCACCATCATCAATAGCAGCAGCGACGGAGGGAAACGCGTCCAAGAACCCGTCAAGTCCCACCCCACGCTCCGTCTCAAAGGGGTGTGGCAGAGGCTGCATGAGAGCAGCAGCACGTGGGTCCGATGGGAGTTGTGGCAGGCACACGCCAGCACGTGTGGGACACACGTCAGGGTATGTGGGGCCCAGCCCAGAGTGTGTGGGGCTCACGCCTGGACGTGTGCGGCACACCCTGGGGTCTCTTAGGCAAGTGGTTGCAGCAGCAGGCGCAGAAGCCGTGGCAGCAGCAGTCCAGCAGGAAGGCACTGAAACAGGTGCGATTCTTGACACGTGGGGTGCACGGGTAGGAGCGGCCATAGCAGGAAGGGCTGCTGTTGTTGCACCCCACAGTGCACCGTGCTTGGCTATACAGCCCGGCCTTCTTTCGTCTAAAACGAGGCTACTGCTGGTAGAGAAGACAGCAGCAGCAGCAGCGCGTGGTTCAATGGCTGCAGTAACAGCAGCAGTTGCAGCAAGAGGTAGACCAGTATCAACAGCAGAAGGGTTACCACATAGTCTCTTCCTTGCCTGAAAAGCGTCCATATCAGCAAGATCGTTCGTCTGAGAGGCTAGAAGCCTTCTTTTTCTGCCAAAAGTTGGTCTGGAGGTGGGAGAGTAGTGAGCTTTGAAAGCCGTTGAGGGGTTGTGAATGGGGTGAAGGGACGGTGAGGGGAAGGAGCGAGAAGCAGGTGGAGGAGAGGTGCTGAGATGCGAAGACCGCTGATTGGGCGGCAGCTGCTGAGTCAGCAGCGGCGCAGGACTCAATAGAACGGAAAGACGAGACTCATTCCAAATCCCCCCTTCACTCTCCGTGCGCACCAGCCCTGTGTGCTCCGCGCTTAGTAAAGCTGACTCGGACTCCCTCAGCCCTCGCTTCTTAGCGACAGCAGGCTTGGAATCAACCAGCCCAGCGTGCTGTGCGGCGTCGGCCAACGCGGAGTCACTCGGGCCGTGCTGCTCGGTTCTCAATGCGGATTCACTCAATCCGGGCTGCTCGGCGCGCTGCAGAGCTTCTTGGATCAGACGGAGCTCCTCCCTGCTGATGCTGCAACAATCTGCCTGCACGGCTTGCAGCACCCCCGTTAGAGGCGCGTCCAAGCATGGCTCTTCCGTTAGAGGCGCGTGCGCATCTAAACATGGTTTCCCCGTTTGAGGCGCCGAAACATGATCCCCCCGTTAGAGGCGTGTCCAAGTAATCCATGGGGAGAGTTACACCAAAGTTAACACGGACTCGATCTTGTAGTCGCAGAAGCGAAAGAGCACGCGAGCAAACCTGGACGGAGTTTATTCTTCAGAAGCTTCAAATTAAAACAAACCTGGACGGAGTTTACTCTCTGGAAGGATTTGTCGGAAACGAAAGTTCACGCATCTTTCTATCTACAACAAGCTGGCATGGAACTAAGATAACGCTGGAGGAACTGATAAGACAGGAAATGCATCGGCTCTTCACAGACTATGCATTCTAACTCGGGACGCGGCGTGGGAGTGCTTTGGAGAGGGGAGGAGCAGCATTCTCGCGACGCGACGAGGGACTAACTGACCGCTCAAATGCGTGTGTGAGCCAATGATTTGCGGCATCCTTCAAAGCTGGGCTGAACGGAAACTGGGCTGCTAGCCGTCAAAGCTGGGTGCCACTTCAACCAATCATGCTATTGAAAACCGTAAAAGAAGGTCCAAATGCTGAAGAATCTGGTTTATGGCGCGTGCAAGGTTCCGTGATGTCGCCATGATAGAAAAAAATCATCGCGATAATGTTTGTTCAGTATCTGCGAGGCCCTGCTGGCGCGTCGATCCTCCAGCTCAGCATGTTGCTTATCCACGGACTGCGAACCCTCGCCTGAATATAGCCGAATATTGTGTTGTGGTGTGTATTCCACGCCAGAATACAACCGTGGGATACACACCCTACATCCGTACCGTACGAGCGACACAATGGGAGAAAAAAAAAAACTGTCCGATTCGGATCGGATGGGAGACAAATATGGAAACGACTCCTCTTGCTTGACTCTACTCCCAGATGGAGTAAAAGAAGGGAGCCAAACTCCCGGTTTACGTACCAACATATTTTCTCAGAAGAAATAAAGAGTGTTGTACTGTTGCGAGAACGAGGTTCTCGGGGGGTTAACTTCTTCCTTGTCTCTACGAATCTATAACACCTACGAATCTATGCGCTTCGAAGCTGTTGCCACTATAGCACCAGCCGTGTAAATTATGCTCACCTGCACCTCACGTGCGTGCTTCTTAGCACAACGTCACTGCGGCAGCAATAAAAGCACTCTGAGTGCGCGTGAGGCCCAATGAGTGACGGGACTCCGGGAGCGTATCAGGTTTGAGGGCGATATGGAGGCTGGTGGCCAGCTTCAGATAAGTTGTTCCTTGGACAAGCCAATGGAGGAGGAGGGGGGATCAAGGTTGTCCTTGCAAGGGGAAAAGAAATAGTAATATATTGTTGTGATTCGGCTCTCCTTGTTGAAAGGGAAATTATACAGGCAGTTACAATTTTCCCGTTTTAAAACCGGAGTCCCAAACAGCCCGTTGCTGCCGTAGCACCTCCAGCTGCCGCCCCTGCTACCACCTGCCTTTCCTACCTTTGCTTTTGCTACCTACTGTTGGGGCCTTCAGGTGCTGCCGTCGAGCCGCTGCTGTCCTGCTGCATGTTGCAGCCACAGAGCCTGCTCCTCAGGCGACCTGCCGCCCCAACACCTGCTAGTGTTTCTACATTGGTCAAGGGGTTGGTACAGTTGGATCTGCCATCACTGCACCGGTTGCCACTGCACTTGCCTGTTACTGTGATTTCCGCTACGGCTTGTCTGGTGTACCCCATTATGGGGGCGTTGACTGCATATTCTCCCCTACAGGCACTTATGGGGGCGTGTCAGAATAATATATAAATCTATATATTGTTTTGTAACTGCCTGTAGTGTAGACTACTGTAGTTATATAATGTTCTGTTTTGGTGGTGCACCTTTCCTGATTCTTCCCTATTTGTACCCTCGCTCAATATTGAATCATCCTCTTTTTGGCAAACTCTCTCGACCACTTTTCTCTCGTCACTCTGGCCTAGGTCGAACCCTAGGCCTCAACTACTATTCTTGATAAACCTTCCTAACTTTGATAAGGGGTGACGCAGTAGGAACGACTCACTTCGCAAATCGGGGGGACAATTTTCGTCACGCGAAACTACTGTTCTAGTGAGGACGAAAGTAGTGACGATTTCGCCAACAAATTTGAAGCCCGTCCGAAACTGTCTGCGAACCAGTTCTGACGTTGCATTCCAGATCTGGTTATTTTCGCGAATTTTTCTTCCTTTACGACCCCAGACCACCAATTTCGACACCACCCTGGCTCGCGAGCCAGTCACATTTCTCTCCCCTTTCAACCTTCCTAACTTAGAAACTCTTGGACCTCCGGTTTTAACACGTTTGGGCACAGGGGTATCACAAACACTCACAGTACAATAGATTTCTATCGCGGGTGATCACAGTGTTGTCACGGATGGTCACACCTCGCCCCTAAAAGCTATCACGTTTGGTCACTCAATGAAAAGATTTTAATACACTTGAAACCACAAAAGAAACTGTAGAGATTTTGGAGAATCCCAATCTTGATTGCTTGTTACCTCGCGCTTGATTCTAGCCTGACATTTAGGGAATGAAGAAACGAAAATAAACCCCTATAGGGATGGCACTTTCTTCAGGAGGCATCAACCCTAAACACCATGCGACAAGGTGTTCAGGGTTGATGCACCCCGAATAAAATGCCATCCGAATGGGTTTTAGTTTTTTTGTCTTGAAAACAGAAATTACCCTTCGAGTTTCACCCGTATAAAAGTGATATTCTTAGGGACATTATGCATCAATCGAGCATTGTACAATCAAATTTGAACATGTATTTGCAGATTTTTTTATCGAGTTACCGAGAGCTGTTGCGAAACTATTTCGTAATACTACAGACAAAACTACGAGCACGAGAAAACTTTCATTGAATCCCTACAGTGACTTAAGTAGTTTCAACTTTCTTTCAAGGTTTCAACGAGTGACCAAACGTGATACCTTTTCGGGGCGAAAGACCATTCGTGATAGCACCGTGATCACCCGCGATACAAATCTACTGTACTGTGACTGCTTGTGATACCCCTGTGACCAATCGTGATAAACTGGGCCTAATTGTGACTGCCTATATAATTTCCCTTGTTGAAATCACCACCCTAAGAGCGTGTTACCTACACCTAACCACCGCTATTTACTTTAGGTCTATTTTTTCACCAAGGGTTGTATCGGATGTCATACGCTCTACGCAGAGTGAAACCCTGGCTCCTGAAAGCTACACAAAGGGAGGCGCATAGGAAAACAGACTGTACAGGAGCGAAAATTGTCGTTACTCTCCCAATTGATATTTCAAGCATCCAGCATTTGACGTCATTCATAGCCCCCCATATCTAGGTGTCTAACTGAAACCCCCGAAAGCAGGGCAGGGTTTATATGAAAAGCGGAAACAGTACAAGGTGGGAAGTTGAAAATAGCGGTGGTTAGGTGTACCCCATATTTTGGTGGCAGGGACCGGTTACTTGTAAAAGTCGACCCAACCTGACTGGTTGGGTCGACCAGTGGGCGGTTGGGTCCCAGCAGGCAACCTGCATTTGTAAACCCTCGTTTGTGCTAGAAGAGCATCTGGTTGCAAAACATACACGGGTTCTATAACGTCACCACGTTTAGAACGGTCTTGTCACCTACTGTACAAGCACAATGCGGAGAATACGGTTAGGTGAGGTGATGAAGTTGTTAAAATAATAACGAGGAATGACTAGAAACAGGACAGTACAAGGTTTGTATAGGCAAAACCTAACAATTCTGTACCCCATAAGGAGTGCCCCACTACAGCCTACAATATAGTTCTGACACACCTCCATAGGCAAAGTAGGGGACAAGCAAGAGAACAAGGCAAGGTCAAGCTCAGGGTGGATCACAACGTCACCACACATTCTGAGCACAAGTACAAGGCCACAAAGCCAGTTCACATGTAGGATTATAAATCAAGGTGAACAAGCAAGACAGTGATCTCAACCTAGCAAGGGTAAGCATGCAGGTGCAGGTATATATAGATCACATTACAAGCAAATTCAAGAGGTAAGCAAGTGAGGCCAGGTAGGCACAAGACCTAACATAGTACAAAAACGCTGATGATCACAAGGCTGAAGTGTCTTGGTAAAGATATCAGCAGTGTTGGCCCGAGTGGCCATGTAAGCAAGACGAAGCGACCACGCTGATGCAACTCCCGAGCAAGGAAGTAGCGCAGAGCAATGTGTTTCGTTCTGTGCT